TATATGCGACTGGTGTATGAACGCTATCACGTCGTATATATGGTGCTTGAATTTCCTTACCGGATGATCAAGTAGGTATATTATGCATAGAAGATTGCCGATGCATTGAAAGGTACGCAATCCAATTAAAATAAACCAAACTATTTAGATGGTTCTGATCTTCCATCATTATTTTTACAGATTATTTTGAATTTTCTTTCATATGAAATAGAATATAAATTTGTACTTCAATATAGCTGTTTGTACTTCCAGGTGCAGGCCGCATGATCAGTATGGAAACATTAGACTACATCCTCGTGTTATATGGAGAAACCAGCAGTGGTACGACACTATGTAATTATGAAACTATGAAATCGTATCTATTTATATGTAACATCACAGACATATTCTTTATATATCAATAAGTAAAGCAATATCGATTAAAAGCTAGATTAATGCGAGCAGCTATGAAAACAACGACAGAGATAGACTTTAAAAAAAAGCAGATTCAGTTCTACATATCTACATATACATCTATTTTTTTTATGAATGATAATGGAATCCTCCAGCCCCCAGTTATGGTTTACGCTGGCCGGGCACCAGTGAGGGATGATAAAGTATCTATGAAGTCAGGTCAGTTATCTAGTTGCCGATCTTGACAAATGGCAATTACTATGGTTTCCAGGGAAATCGCAGGAGTTCAACCTGATATGGTACATTGCTAGCAATGGGGTTATTAGACCACATTACTAACAATCCCCTTCCCATTCTATACATCTATTACAGACCCAAGACAACTTGTGAGATGTGTTTCTGTAAGGAGAGATTTGACAGTGAAATGACTGGATCAAAATGTGTCTGTAAAGACTGACATCTTAGTCTTCCGGAAAACGCGTCGTATGCGTATCAAGTATCGTATGCGTTCGATATAAAAGGATTACGATGCATGGATATGTTCATGTATATAGGTCACGATTACCACTTACCATCAAGTGGGCCGTCAGCATGTTTATTTATTTAGTTATTAAAACATTTTAACAGCAGTCCTTCCACTAAGCTTAAGACTTGTATCGTAGGAATCGGAAACTTTTAGTAATTAGTTTACTATACAGAAATGTAAAGTAATTTATAAAAGACAATAAAAAGAAAGGGAAAGTATGTGTGTAGTCTCGGTATGTGATTGTGTGTGTGTATATGTGTGTTAGTATTTTGCCAATCTATTTTTTTTAGTATTTAACTGAAATATTGGGTATTAATTTACGTACATATCAAAGAAATCTGCTAGATTTCTTCATCTGTATATTGTATTCACAAGTTCCGCATGTTATATGATTATACAACTTTACTATTTGTTGATATGACCAACTCGAGTGTGTTATGTGATGAGGCAGCCATCTTTGCCTACGTGCAGTGTTCTCTACTTTAACATTAAATGTAGTACACACCTATTAGAAAACTTATTGACTGATTTCATAAGGCACGAAGACAAAACTTTATAAATAGCAATCATGAAACATAAATTCGTCCATTACTTTTTAGAAGAGTAACCAATCGATATGGACATAGATATATTTGTATCAAGAGCATGAGAAATGATGTATAGATAATTTCAAAGCGACGGTCACCTGAAGATCAATACTAGGCACTGACTTGTGATTAGATTGTAGGGTGGAGTTGAATAGATTATGCATAGGCTTTATAATGATAAAGAATATGCTTTATATATGTATTTAACATATATAAAGCATATTCCTTATCATTATATATATTCTTCTGTCCGTATGTTTATCATCTAATTTATCCTAATTCGTTGGACTGATATATTTCAATGGTTCCTGGATGACGTGAAAAACCATTGACAAAGGTAGACTGACAGTAGAAAAAAAAGTGACACTAGTAAAACCACTGACCACCACCCGGTAGGTGGCACTGCTTTTCTAGTGTCAGTTGCAGACTTTTAATTACGACGTCTGCCGCGTCCCCTATTTTATATAATTATTTAATATAAAGCAAGTGTTTTCCAGACTTACATTATAATACTCAATATATCGATAGTACCTACCTACTGTTCAAAATTTCCCCAATAAGTTCGATGACCGCAATACAAGAAAATATCCTTCCTGTCTGCAAACCGCAGTTCAAGAATTATTTCGAACTAATAAAACAATTTTTGTTCGAAATAATGCCAGCTCGACTTCCACGCGGTCATCCTGAAAACATGGTGAATTCACCAAGCGGTGACATGACTTCATTCTCGCCCTACCAATTGTGTACTTATATTATGTAATACTACTATGAAATCTTCAAAATTATATTTAATTCTAATGGTAAGTACATTTGTACTTAGTAGCTAGTGTACACAAAAATGAATAAATATCTAGCTAATTAAAACAGCAGTTTTTAGTAGTTTTTTTTAAATGGCAAAAAAGTTGGTTTACGTGATCAGTACCACGGACCTCATCTTGTGACGTCCGTGATACCAATAATGCGTTGATATATCGGAGGACTAAAATAACATGCATGGTAGGTATCCTGCGAATTCCATGGTAACCTGCGTTATCTCGACTCTTAAATTAAAATATTACAAAGTAATCTGCTTGGAGACTGAAATATGTCAGATTGAGGTTTCTACATGGATGACTTTTACAAAGTTTACCTAATTCAAAATTAAGCATATTTTTTACTACTTTAAACCTGTTGGCCCTTTACAGCTTCACCGAATAATAGGGTGCACTCCAAACTAAAGGAAGGACTTATGGAGCGACAGAAAGCCAACTCCCGTCTGACGGATACGACTATAGACTGAGGGCACCGTTAGGGTTTAGAAGCTCGTTTCGGCTCAGGTTGTCGGTCATAATAAAAATTAAGCATAAGTCATCCTGGTGATGTGCGGATGACGAACAGTGCTGACATAATTATTAGTATAAATATTTCGTCACCACATAAAATTACACAACGTAACATATTATAATGGTGTACATTAAAGTTATACCTATTTATTTAATAGAATTTTCCCTAAAGTTGCTCTTTGTGTAAATAAATAAATAAATAATATGTTTCCCACATCGTCTGAATCTTCTCAACATTTCTGACTAATGGGTTTTTGGATCGTAATTGGGTTTTGAATATTTTATTCAGACTTACGTGTCTCGGGATACCGTCACTTCAAATAATAGTGACGCATAACAAAGTTAAGGGAGCAATCGAGTGTAACAGTCAGTATGGTAAAACCTTTATGCTTACTTGATCTACATTACCCTAGCTTTTCAGAAGACTACGACGGATATTTTAATATGATATGCTTGCAACGGACTTCAATATATAGGATAATTTTGATAGTGTCTAGTCCACACTAAACTTAAGTTTTAACAGTGAAATCCATATACCTAAGTATAAGTGTTGTCGCCGTCCATAAGGTACAATGAACTTTCTAATGTTCTTTCATATGTATTTGTTTAAGTTTAATGCAGTTATACATTTAAAAAGATATACAATACAATACAAAAGATAGCCGTTAGTATATTTGGAGTAAATTTGTATCGAAAATACTGCATGGTCATAGAACTAAAAAAAAAAATAAGACTATGGTTAACTGGTAAGTCAAACATTATGTGACTATTGTCACGTTTCACTGACGGCCTCGCTGATTTAGCGGTTTAAAACACCGCCTTACTTCCGATGCTCGCAGGTTCGATTACTCGCACAGTACAAACATTTCTATTCATGAGTGTGTTTGTATTGGTCTGGGTGTTTTACAAAAAGTATTTAGGTATTTATATGAGTTTGTTTTGGAGTTATTATTGTTATTACTTTTTATTAGGCAGGGAAAATAGCCTTTTTACCCTTCTTGTTACATACATGGAATAAGATGAGTTTATTTGTATAGTAAAAGTAGAATAAATAGTATACATAATGATGGCATTTCGTGAATAAAACCTTTTTTAGACCATTTATCGTGGGTTATCTATCGTTTTCTGTGACCGGGGACCTATTTAGGGTAGCTGAGTACAGAAAGCGTTGTTTTTTTCTTTTATAATGGAGAATTTATGCACACAGATAAATAGGTCATTTAAAGTTTATAATTTAACACACGATTATACTTTTATAAATATGGACAATACTTAATTCGACTTAAGACTAAATTGACAACTTTGTGTCTTTATAATTTGTCTTTGTAATTCGTGGTAATACAAAAAGGTCGTAAGCTTAGTGTGGGAGATTTTAGAACAAAACAGTGATTTTCAGCTTCATCCTATTTCAGGGGTACATGAAAATAATAATAGAAAGATCAAATGCTGTGTTCTGTGTAATGTGGGAACTGTTTTATAACTATTATAAATCAAAACTTTAAATATAAGTCCCAGAATAATTTAATGTAATTTATAATGAATATGTTAGGATGATTAATCGAGTGAAAATAAAAGAAATAATGTGTATTATTAATGAATAAATATATCCATAGATTGCAATCGCTAATATTATTTATTTGTACTTGCCTGAAATGTTTTTTCATAAAACAATATTTATCTAATAATTATATTAATATTTTAATAAAATTATGAATGTTGTAAGTTGTAATAAAGGTAACTATTTTTTTATTAAATAAGTTATATTCTTAAAATAGAAGTTAGTCTAAGTTACTTCCTATAACATTAGTTGCTTGCAAGCGAAATTCCCATCAAAATCTGTCCATCCTTTGAGATTAGCGAAGATAAATTTTTTTTTTTTTTAAAAAGTACTCTATATATTCTTTTAGACAAATTTAGTGAAAAACGGATACTTTAAAATTACAAACACATAGCACAACTTTATTTATTTGAAAAATAAAAAAGCTAAATGTGTAGGATTTAAGAAAATGAAGAAAAATATAAATATTTGATTTTAAAAGGGTTGGACATCAAACCGAAACCACCACATGTCCCGCAAGGAATCCGTGTCGGCAGCACTTCCCGCGCTGCGCCGGAGGTCGCGGCCTGTCCTATATAACGACAACACACCGCCGACCAGCTTACAACCCGACTCACGCGCACACCGCCAACATCCACCAACTCCCCAACCAGTACGTACAAAATTATAATCGAACGGTCAAGGTCAAGAATGCGCAGTTACCACATTTTTTTCTAAATAATTATTACGTGCAGTGTTCGTATGCCGCGCGACATTGGTTGCAATTGTACCACCACCATTCATTTGGTTGCAGCTGGTGCGGCCAAGACTTCCGAGCGCGTCAGTCTGCGCGTACGCACCGATCGGGCTCAGCAGCGCCCCCTAGTGTTCAGTGACAGTGCCTGTAACGTTCGACATAAGCAACATGAATAACTACGTCAAAATCGTAAGTCCATCTGACAATATATGTATAAGTATTAATTATATAACGTCATTATCTAAGATAGTTGAAATTAAATTAAATTGACTATAGAAGATAATATTAATTAATAGAAGATATAAATATCTATAATCTAAAATTGGTATAATAAAAACTAACTATTTTCATTTGGAGAAACACTAATGACTTCCTAGAAAATAATTCTTTTTGATACGATTTTCACTATCATATCTGATTTTCTTCCCGAATATTTTTGCGTATAATAGGTACATGTTATGCAGTTGACCTTGTTGGTATATTACCAAATTTTATATATACTTTTTTATAGGTATAACACACTATAAATAATAAGTATAAACTATTTTAATTATATTATTTCATATAAAATAACAATTAAAAAGTTATGTCACAGGTACCTTCGTTAAATACGATGTAAATTATTTTTTATAAAGAAAAAGTATAAAAACTTTTATTATCTTTACATAGTATAAAATGAAGTCGCTTTCGCTATCTGATTGACGCAACGGATTTTAATGCAGTTTTTAGCACTAGATAGCGATTCAAGAGGAAGGTTTATAGTTTATATGTATAATACATGTACTCCCGTGCGAAGTCCGGGCTGATAACTAGTTTATTATGTGTATTTAAAGTTTTTAGGTATTGGGAGAGATACATAAATTCTGATCTCATAAAATTTCTTTCAAATTATGCTCACTATTTTATTACACCTTCAGTTTAATTTATACAGATAATATTTATACATGCAACCTCTAAAATGTGAGAATGTGCCAAATTATATATTACATAAACTAATACACAATTGTTTCATATATTTGTCCTCGGACATGGATCACGACACAATGTAATGTGCAATAAAATACCGTAAATGGCATTTCCCACAGAGGCCATTGATAGATTGACAAGACTTGATAACAGAGAAATAAAACATTACTATATTAAAGGTACCTAAGTATACATAATGGTATTGTCAACAGTTAATTTTTCTCATGATTTATGATAATTTTGCAGTTAATTTTCCATAATATTTATTTCAAAGCATGATTATTACCGGAGTAATAGATATAATAATACTAATACGTATTCATATATGACTATGTTGTCTTCGGACAATAGCAATACAATTTTTTTAAGAAAGAAGAAGAATTTGTAATGTAATATTACAGTAAAGTATTAAAATGATCTTTACCGGTTTATAATATTTTCTCCTATTTGTAAATTACTGTTTTTCATGCGATTCCAATTAAAAGTGATAAAGAAATTATATCGCAAATTGATAATTATCATTACTATACAGAATCCAGTAGGATTTAAAGTAACCAATATGAATAAGAAACTACACTTTACGTGGATAAAAAATAATTCGTTCATTTAAATACGTTTAAAGTAAGCGAAGCGATGTGACGGTAATACATTCACTTAGAACATAAACTTATCCATTCGATTTTGTATAACACTATAAATAAACTAAGCAGTAATTGAGAATTCCTTCAAGACATTTACACAGTTTAGCTAAAACTGTAGCAATCATATCATATCGAGGATTTGTCTACGTGAAATAATTAGTTCATCTTTAGACGTAATCGTAGCCTATTTTTACAAACACTTTATATCTCTATTTATGATATTGCTTAGTTTGAAATCCAGTTAAATTATACACTTTTATAAGTACATTTTTATATGTGTACTTTTAATGACCTAGAGTCATCGTGATGTTATAGGTTTTATTAACACTTGTCAGCCAAATGAACATGGAATCTAATGTATCCAAATAGGGTGGGTTACGACATATAATTCCATGATTTTAGTAGAATTCGTATGTTGTGATTGTTATATAACAGTTTGATAATGGAATAGCACTGTACATAAATATGGTATTAAAAAAAATTTAATTCGACAAAATTTAATTGAGAATTACGTCACGAAGAAATAGTAAGGAGTATTACGTTACAGTATAATTATCAGATTAATTCCTTGTGGCATCAGTAAAAAATATATTTTAAATAAAATTTAATTTCTATTGAACTGATGTTCAAAGTAGGTAAAAAAAAACAAAATGTACAAAGTATACAAATAAACGATTTTATAGAAATACAGGCTCTTGTAAAAAAAAAAAACGTAATAACGAATGACAAATACGTCAATAGTTCTATTACGGATTTCCTACTCCCCATTTAACTTTGTTAGTATGACACTTGCTGACAATCAAAAGCTTAGATTATTATATATTATAAATTCAAATGAGCGAACCTTGCCTATTATAAGTTAAGGAAATGTGGGGCTCACTTTACTTGCAGAATATTTTAATTAGACATAAAACAGATTTTATTAGTTGCATAGTTCGTATACGAGCAATACGAGAACAATCCAAATCCATACTTATATTATAAATGTAAAAGTATATCTTATTTATTATCCACAAAATGAATTTTAACGTAGTTTCACAATATTTGTCATATCATTGAAGATGGACATATGCTATATCTAATAATTTGACAGGGGATGAAAATTTGTGCTGAAGATATCGCGGGTAACAGCTACTTTAATATAAAATGAATTATCAAATATGATCATGAACTATAACACGAGATGACATACACGAAAAGAGGAGTAAAATTTTGAACTTGCTCGTTTTTGGAGTCGTTTAAATATCTTAAAATATTTACTTTACACAACTGCTTAATGGACTGGCGAATTAGTGGTCGCGATAGTAAATGTAGCGCATCGTGTTACGTAGTATCTAGTTCTATGAAAGTATTTTTTTAACATATTTTGGTATGCGTGCACGGTGAAAGGTTAAATTATATATAGATTAGATGACCGTTTGCATCTAAAAGAATATGGTCTACGTTCTTCCTTGGGATACAATCTACATATCTTCACGATAAATAAATATGGTTGTGTGAAATCAGATTGATCGACAGACACCCTTTTGCTTTATAGAACAGAATAGAAAATGTTTACTATTAGAATGTATTTTAAACAGGAAATATAGAATTATCAATCATAGAAAACAGATTTATAAAATAAATAATTTGTTATTTGTGTAACTTAATAGTTTAATTTATAAATTATCAAATTTGATTTCTGTTTTGTTTAGTAAATAAATAATTGATGGATATAATTATTAATAGATATTCAATTAATTATTCAAACAACTCATTAAGCATAGAGATTGATTGAAATGTCTTAGTCGACCTTGGTTGTTAAAAATGTCTTAGCTATAATTATGACTTTTTTACTTAATGTACATTCTCTATGTAGGTCTATTATTAGATTAACTAACTTATATTTTTAACTAACCGTTACCCGCGACTTGGTGTTTAGAGTAACTTAGGCTAAGATAATAATAAATCAGGTCAGATCACACACCGCTATCTAGTCCCATGCTAACAAGAGCTTGTGTTATGGGTATTAGACGACTGCTATTTTTTTTAAAATATAAACAAGAAATTTACGATATAAATAGAAATAAAAAAACATCTTTTGACAGTTACACGTACGGTATACATATAAACTAAGTAAGTTTATATAAATTATGAATATTTAATTTGCGAACTAAAAATTATAATTCATTCCGCCATTTACGAAGATTTGCATTAATTCGATCCTACTTGAAAAGTAGAACATTAAGATTGACAGGATTATAATAGCCTTAAATTATTTGTGCGTTACAAAGAAAATGCATATATTTGACCAAATTACTTGTAAAGTTGTGAAATATGTTGATTAGTGCAATTATCGTGTTCGTTTCCATTCATCACTGTTCGGCCCGATCGACTACTTGACGGACCGAGAAATATTAGAACCAGTTAGATCATAATTATTGTCTAACGTGTTGCATAGAACGCAACATTCAATACACTTAATAAAGTAGATTTATTACCATGCCAGTTTAAAGTAATTTACATTTTAACTGTTAAAATTTGATTATTTTATAATTAAATGTCATTTATCCTATTAGCTTTGTTACTTTATCTTAGTTTATATACACTCACACCCTGGTTATATAAATAGTAAATTTGGAACACTTTCAGTTATAGTACAATTAATACGCTCGCCTAATTTTAAATTAAACTAACTTTTTATTTAGAATTAAATTTTAACTATCCAGGGAAGGAAAATATAGATAACAATCAAAATAATTGAGAAATTGTTGTAAAGCCTCTCTACCTCGTTGGATTTTACATTTACTGATCAGGATCTAAATCTGACCTCGTCAAGCGATTGGCAAGTAACCCGTCATTGACAATCTTACACTACCATGGTGCCTTGAAACCTTCCCTTCGACACAGACACTGCTGTTAACTATAGGAACTCGAAGTGAATCCATAAGAAAATAAATGGAAAAGCTAAGGACTAAAAATCCGTGTGAACTAAATATATATAGTAGAATTCCATACTCTGAACGGTAATGATCATGATTTAACTTACTTTTGCTTCATAATCGACTGATTGCGGAAAGGAAGGGATTTTATTTCGACGGTATTTTTCAAGTGCAACGTGTCGATTGAAAATGCATGAAATGTAATTTGAATTGACAACATTGATATTAATCATTTACCATTGAACGTCGCAAGGTCACTTTAGAATTCTGTAATTTAAGTAACTTCCATATTTTATCAATAGTTGAGTTAGAGTTAAGGGTACCGGAGTCGTTTTAAAGTATTTTATGATGTCCGTCATAATGTCCATTTGTACAGGCGATGGCTACCAGTTTGTTTGGCATTCCAATTTAAAAAAAATGTGTTTAATGTAATAGTATCAATCTCAATGGTATTAAGAGAGATTTAGTTTCGGAATAGTTTTAATATTAATTTCATATGAACAAAGAAATTTCAACAAAGTATTTAAGTCGCTTGGCCTAAATTAACAAGTAACTTTAATACAAACAGAGACAAATTGAGTATTCCTTTTATTATATTGTGGATAAAAAAAGAAAATTGCTTTGCAACTCACGCGTTTGTTGTAAAGACAAAATTACGTGT